GGTCCCGGTGTTTGGCACGGCTGGGGGTACGTGAGGGGCACCGGGGTGCGGAGGGCACCTCCGCGTGCGGGAAGGGTGGGATGTGGGAGGGGATGTATCCGGCTGGAGGACAGGGGCGTTGGGGAGTGGGATAGCTGCGTGGAGGAAGAAGGTATTTGGGCGCCTGAGGGGGTGTTTGGGTGCTTGAGGGGGTTACTTGTGTCTCAAAGGTGGCATCCGTACGTGCCGGGGTGGGAATGTGGGAAGGGCATCTGCAGGCTGAACAGGGGGTATTTGAGTGCTGTGGTGGGTTTAGATCAGTGTATCCTCTTACTGCTGTCCTTCAGTTAACTCCTTTCCCCTCCATTTACCTTTTGGTTTCCTCCATTTCCCTCGTTCTTCTCCCCCACCTCCCCACCCTTGCTTATTCTGGTTTCCTTCTCTTTCTTGCGTGCTTGGGCTGTCTCCATTTCTCTGTGCCCTAGCTGTGATCTCCTTGAGACATTACTGAAGACACCCAAATATGAGTGCGAGTCAGCTCCCCTTTCCACCACAGGTCATAGAATCATTGACTCATTACGGTTGGAAAAGACCTTCAAGATTGTTGAGTCCAACTATAAGCCCCTCAACACCATACCTGTTAAACCATACCTCTAAGTGCCTCTTCTACACATTTCTTGAACACTGCCAGGGATGGTGACACCACCACTTCCTTGGGCAGCCTGTTCCAATGCTTGACTGTTCTTTCCACGTAGAAGTATTTCCTAATATCTAACCTGAACCTCCTCTGGCACAACTTGAGGCCTTTTCCTCTTGTCCTATTTTTGGTAGTTATTTTGGAGAAGAGATTGACCCTGTTCTCACTAAAACCTCCTTTCAGGTGATTGTAGAGAGCAATAAGGTGTCCTCCTCTCCAGACCAAATAACCCCATCTCCCTCAGCCGCTCCTCATGAGGTCTGTGCTCCAGACCCTGCACCAGCTCCACTGCCCTTCTTTGGACACACTCCAGCACCTCAATGTCCTTCTTGTAGCGAGGGGCCCAAAACTGAACACAGGATTC